TTGAAAGGAGGATTTCAGTAGAATTGATTCCATTTATAAAGAATAACAAAAGGCAACGACGAAGACAATTTCTCGACATATTTTCTGAGATATTTTTCCTCTTTTTCTTGCTATTGTTACCTTAACTTTGTTTGGGTTTAGTTATTGTCTGTATTGTTGTTGTTGCACTACTTAGGGTTGACTTTTTAAAGGACTGTTTATTATTTGATCAAAGCAATGCACTTTTTTCCCCTCCTCCGGTGTTCATTTTCTGGATGAGATTTGTATTGACATAGTTGAAGAATTCAATTATAACGTTGGATTAAATCTATTTCGTTTCTTTCTATGTAATTTTTGTTTATTTTTCGACATATTCATCTTCCGTTTCTCTTTCATAGTCAATCAGATTTTGTTTTGTTTTTTCTGTTGTCCATTTTTTTCTGATGTTTCTTTATAACTCACATTCTTTGCGTTTTCATTAACTTTAGCGATTATTTTTTCTTACCGTGTTTCATTTATTTGTTCTTACTTTGCTTTGGATATCATTCTTCCTATCGATTCGCTCTCTTTTTCTTCACGTTTTTTTCTACTTTCTTTCCTTTTTTTCTTTCTATGGGTCTTTCTCATTCTCTAAATTTCCCTCATTATTTTACTTCTAATTTCTTCATCTTCTTTCTTTCTTTTTCTCGTTTTAATTTCTATAAGATGCTCACGTTCTTAACATTCCCCCTTTTTTATTTTATTTCTCATTTCGTCATCATATTTTTTCTTCCTTTCTTGTTCTCATTCTCTATATTCCCCTCTTTTTTTATTTCCAACTTCTTCTTCTTCTTCTTCTTCTCGTTCGCTTTTTTCTTCCTCCTTTCTTTTTCTCCTTCTAAGTTCTATAATTTGTTCTCATTCTCTACATTCCACTTTATCTTTCTTTCCAATTTCTTCTTTCTTCGTCTGTTTTTCTGTCCTTTTTCTTTCTAATTTCCATAAGTTTTTCTCGTTCTCTACGTTCACATTTTTCTCTTATTTCCAATTTCTTCTTCTTCTTCTTCTTCTTCTTCTTCTAAATAAATTCTTTCTTTCTACTTCTTAAAATCTTTCACTTTTTCTTCATTCGTTTTGTCAGTTATCATTCTTCTCGTTTTTTCGTTCTCTCTTGTTTTTTCTCTTTCCAAGTTTTTCATTTTTCTTTCTCATTCTTATTTCATTTTTTCTTTTTAGTCGGCTATCATTCATCTCAATTTGCTTTGTTTTTTTTTTCTTTTACTTTTTAATTCTTAGGGCCTTTCGACTCTTTCTTTCTCTTTCATTCTGCAATTCTCATTCTTCTCAAAATATTTCTTCTTTCTTTCCTTCCCATTTTTCGCACACACTTTCTAATTCTTTTGTTTTATACTTCTTATGTCTTTCACTATCTTTCATTCTTCTTTTCTATATATTATTTCATGAATTATTCCTTCCAACATTCCACTACACTTTATGTTTATAAAAATCAAAGATGGAGTAGTGAAAAGTTCTCGGCCCAACCAAAACATTCTTCTATTTAACAAAAGGTATTATCTTTCAGAGGCATTTGGTCAGATTTGGAAAAGTGATTTGAGCCAAGAAACTTTCAACGCAACCTGTATGTATGAATGTATGTATATACGTACATACTTATCTATCTATCTATCTATCTATCTATCTATCTATCTATCTCCTTGGTTATATCTTCTATTTCTACTTTAGCATGCATTAACTTTTTCTCACTTACTATCATACTATTGCTGTATTATTATAACATCTGTTATGATTTACCCATTCAATAAGTAAGGGCTTTTTCACACTTTATGCCTTTAATATTTTAGTCAGAGTGCCAAGAGTGAGGTAACACAAATGGTGATGGGGCGAATAAACGAAAACAATGAGGGAAAAAAAACAACAGAGGCAGAAATAAAAGCAGACAGAATTCAGAATCAAATGAACGTTCACAAAGAGAAAGTCATAGAATGCGCCAGGAAGAAGTGCTTATAAGGAAAATGAATTTGAAGAATTGTTTTCGCATACCTAAAGGCCGGCGTCAGCACAAAGCATCCTTTTACCGAAAAACTTACCTGCAAATAAAATTCAAAAAAAAAAAAAAAAAATTAAATATACAGAAGAACAAATAAAATAATTATAATGCGTAAAAATTGAAAAGGCGAATTATGCAAAATAAAGACAAAATTAGTCGTACAAAAAATGTTATATCATATAATTATTCGTTTGAAAAATAAAAAAAAAATTGAACAATTTTCACAATACTAATCATCAATACCATTCTTTCTCATCTTTATAGTTTGCTGCAATCGTTTCCTAAAGTTTTTGATGATATTTGACTGTGTCTTTTCTGAGATTTTCTTCCATTCTTCAATGGTTACACGTTCTAATTCCTGAAGGTTTTTGGTGACCGACGATTTATTCGAAATTTCAATTCTTGCCATAGATTTTCAATAGGATTCAAGTCAGAACCCACTGAAGGCCATGGCAGAACTGTAATCTTCTTTTTCTGAAACCACGCAGTCACTGATTTAGACGCATATTTGGGAGCATTATCTTGCTGGAAAGAAAATCGCTGACTTAAATGAAGATTTTGCGCTGATAGTTGTAGATTTTCATCCAGAATTTTGATCTAGTTTGCTGATTTCTTTATTCTTCTTATTGCAATTAATTTTCCAGTCTCTCTTGAGCTAAAACAACCCGAAAACATCATCGAGCCGTCTCCATGTTTTAATGCCGCCATTGTGTTTTTGGTGTGGAAAACCTCGCCTTTCTTGCACCAAATCTTCTCTAGATCATTATTTCCAAAAAGCTCATTTTTTTGTTTCATCACTCCATAATAGTTGTTCCCAAATGCAATTTTCTTTGTTCAAAAACGTTTGGGCAAAATTAAAACGTGCATGTGACATGGTTATTGAAGAGAGTAAACACCATTGTAGTGTGCGATGACTGATACTGTTACCAATCGTATCCAAACTTTTGGCGATATCTTTCAAATCAACTCTTGGGTTTGTATTAAACTCACGACACAGTTTTCGTGCTGTTCTCGATGACAATTTGGGGTTTCTTCCACGCTCAGGAAAATTATCTGTCGTGCCTAAGTCTTTAAATTTCTTTATAACAAACTCTACCGTATATCTAGGGATAGCTAACCGGTTTGAAATAGTACTGTAACTATTTTCCAACTTGTGGAGGTTAATAATTTCCTGTCTCAATCAACGCTTAGATCATTTGTCTTCCCCATTATGTGGTGACACTCTATGCATCATGTGATGTTCTTTGCTGGAATAAATAGTCTAGAAGGCTTCATCGATAAAAGAATTATGAAAGTTACTTATACTTATAAGAATCAATTTAAAACGATATTTTTGACTGTACGAATAATTTTGTCTTTTCCTATTTTGCCAGTCAAATTTGTTTTATTTAACCAATTGTTTGTTTTAAAAAAATGAGTTTTATAATTCTTTTGTGTGCTTATTAACTTGTCGTCATACAGGCATTAGATACTGAGAAATGGATAAAAATATTCAAAATTAATGGGTGTACGAATAATTTCGTCGTTGACTATATATATATATATATATATATATATATATATATATATATATATATAAATTCGATTCCCATCTATATTAGACTGTCCATATCTATATATCTATTTATACGTCCGTTCTCATTTAGTTCATATCTGTCTATTTTCATAGAGGAAAATGGCTAGAGTGTGTACAGTTTCCGTTCCTGACTCTAAGAGACAGAAAGTTCGGACTGTATGCGTCTAATCGGCGTTTATCGTGTGTACAATCAAATAAGAAATATTACATTATCTGAAGTCATTCTATCTGCGGAGGGCACAGGGGAAAATATCAAGCTGACTGATCATCAATACAAATTATACTTAAAAATAAATGCATGTAAAAAGTAATCATACACGAGAAAGTAATAATGGATTGATATATATGTGTGTGTGTGTGTGTGTGTGTGTATGTGTGTGTGTGTGTGAAAAGTGTGTGTATATAAATATAAATATATATATATATATATATATATATATTATTTATATATTATATGCATGGTACTTATTAGAAAGCGCTCGATATCAAATATAGAGCTAACATTTTAAAAAAATTTATCAGTTTGTCTGACGATCGCAAAAGCGTGAAATCTAGGGTCACAAATTCACATCATTCCAACCAAATATATATATATATATATATATATATATATATATATATATATATATATATATATAACAAGAGAGAGATTGGAATGGACGCTCTTTTAAAAAAAAAAAAACACAAATATAATTTACAACGTAACAGTCATAACTTGAGAAAAAAATAACAACACCAGAGACAAAACACCCTTGAAAATGGCTATAGAAGTGGCCGAAAACGCTTGGGACAATAAAATTATGGGAAAATTTTTATATTCCTTGACTCCAACAAAACGGAAAAATATCAGGATGATGGAAAAAATTAATAAAAACTTAATTCAGTCTTCCTTGTTTGCCGTGTTCAAGGAAAGATGGATGAAAGAAAGGTTTCTGCCAAAATATTCATTAATATATATATATATATATATATATATATATATATATATATATATATATATATATATATATATATATATATATATATATATATATATATATATATATATATATATATATAAGATTAATGGACTTATTTGTAATCCGCCATTTTATTCACTTATTATTGTGGGTACTTCGTATTTGAAAACAGACGTACCATTTTTATATATTAAACAGTGTAGATTACGTTTATCGACCTGTGAAAGAGAAAAATACAAGTTAAGAAAATTAGTTCCCCGGCAGATATCGAACATGCGTCTCCCATTTTAGGGGAAAAACAGGTAAAGTATACTGGTTCAAGCGGTGGGTTTCCCATATATATATATGTGTGTGTGTGTGTGTGTGTGTGTGTGTTGCAAGAGAGAGAGAAAGGGTGAGAGAGAAGGGGAGGCGAAGAAGAGATATAGAGGGTAAGAAGTCAAAGAGAATAAAAAAGACACCAAGAAATTGTGAATTTTAAGCAGAAACAGAGATTGAATACAATTCGTTTGAAAATGAAAGAGAAAAAAAAATGAAAGAAAGAACGAATCCAAAAAAGAGTAACAACGTTAAAAAAAGAAAATAAAGAAAGAAAGGAAAAAAAGAAATAAAAGAAATAAAAGAAAAATAAAGCAAGCAAGAAAGAAAATCGGCGAAAGAAAAAAGAAAGATAGGAAGGAGAAAATGAAAGAAAGAAAGAAAGAAAGAAAGAAAGAAAGAAAGAAAGAAGAGAGAAAATAAAGTGGAAAGAACGAGATTTACTGTGAGTGAAAGAAATAGAGAAGAGGGAGAAAGAATTCTCAGAGAGCGAGAGAGAGAGAGAGTGAGAGAGAGGGCGAGAGAGAGAGAGTTGAGGTATGTTTAGGAAAATAAAAAAAGCAATTTTGAAACTCCAGGTAGGGATTGGAGAATAGAACACGAAAATGAATAAATAAATAAAAATAAACAAATGAAAAAAAAGTGTTAAAAAATAAATAAACCCGAGAAAATCTCCGAAGTCCGTAAAATTCATTTTCTGTCAAGAGATTATTAGACAAGACGAGAGTGTGCAGATTTTGGAGTCAATCAAATTTGATCTCATAAGATTTTTAATCGGTTTTCGTTCGCATGAACACATACTCACATACAAATGTCTAAGAGAGAGAGAGAGAGGGGGGGGAAGAGAGGGGGCATGTGAAAGAGATAAGGGAGGGGAATAGAAAAAACAGAGAGGAAAAGAGAGAGCGCGTTTGCGAGATGTATGTATGCGTGTGAACGCTTTATGCGCATGCGTATGTCTTCGAAAACACGAAAGTATTTGGAAACGCGGGCGTCTATGGGTATCTAAGCCGTTTATTACAATACAAATTTCATGCATATATATATATATATATATATATATATATATATATATATATATATATATATATATATATATATATATATATATGCATGCGACTTTTGTGTCTTGACATGTTTTCCGGGTCAATATTAAATTGTGCAAGAGCGTCAACTGGAGTAACCTTTATTTCGGTGTCCTACTCGCTCGCTCTCTTCCTTCTCTTTTTTCACTTTCTCTCTCTTTCACTTTTTCTCTCTCTTCTCTCTATACACACACACACACACACACACACACACACACATATATATATATATATATATATATATATATATATATATATATATAAAAATATAAATGACAGACATTTTGTGTCGATTAATTTTAATGATCGACTTTTCCATATTACGAATAATCCTTTTCAGGCAATGAAGAAAATCTTTCAGAAATTGTCCAAAGTTCACTTTGGAAGAAAAGTACAAGAAATGCTGGGAATATTTGGACAATATGTCTTGTACTTTTTTTCCGGAATGAATTTCGGGCAATTTCTGACAGACTGCCCAAAAACACAGTACTCATTCTGTTTCATGTTCGGCTCGTGTTTTTGTGCTGTCGTAATCGAAGACAAGAACTGGATACTCCGTCTCAGAAAAAGAAAACAAAAATCACAAGTGAAGTAAAAAATCTTTTTTTTAATCTCTGATGTTCGAGTCCAGATGAAAAAACGATATTATGAATGCTGATTTTCAAAGCAAGCAGGAAGAGCATCCTGACGTGATAGTTGTATCGCTTATTTTTGCAAAGGTCTGAATGCCAATGCAAATTATCATTTAAAACCACACGCAAACATTTGCGTCTATTCTTGCATACTTACGTGAATACCAGTGTGAGCGTATGCGCGTGTTAACAAGCATAAATATATATAAGTGTTTTTTTTTTTATATGCATGCGTCCATCTCTGCCTAAAACGATGCATATTCGCGCATAAGTCCCAATTTCTGTATGCATTTATATGACATGTGCGTATTTATCCAGGGTATGAGAAATGAAGGCGGGGAGTGGTCGGAAAATGAAGGTTCTTCTGACATAGTGTTTCTAGGGTCTCTGGAAAATGTCAAGAAGGTGAACCAAAATTCAAAATAAAATAATCGAAATATAAATAAACGAATGACAAAAAAAAAAAATATAATCTGTGATCTTCTTCTGTGATCCCTTTCCCGCTAAAATGACCTGTACAAAAGGACTTTACAAATTATAGAATAAAAAGAATGAAAGTAAGAATCGAAGAGAAGAAAAATTAAAGACAGAAATAGAAGCTGATTTTCTTTTTTTTTTAACAGGGAGTGGTTAAGATGGAAGGTAGCTCAGGCAGTGAGAAATCAGTTATCTTGTTCAGATAAAATTTATATTAAGAGAGATCGCCATCTTAGTGACATTTTTTGAGGAGGTCGATGAAGGAAGAAAACGGGTAGAGAGAGAAAAAAAAACAATAACAACAACAGCAGCAACAACAACAACAACAACAATAAAGAATAGATTAAACAAGAAGAAGATGAAGAGAAGAAAACAAAAACTACTGAAAGAGAAACGCAGATAGATAGATAGATAGATAGATAGATAGATAGATAGATAGATAGATAGATAGATCGATGGGAATGAGGAAAGAAAGAAATGAATCAAAGAAAGAGTGAGACAATGGAAGGTTGAGGTATATATTTTCTAAAAAAAAAATAAATGTCGTCTGGAATTGTCATGCCGGCAGAAATTTTTCAGTTTATAAAATAAGTGCTCCATACTATCGGCCTTGTACCATGTCTAAGCTTCGCTTTGTAAATCACTATAACTGCGCCGGTTCATATAAATATTCAGCCTGGAATCTTTTATATAAGTTTAATAAATGTGAAAATAAAAATTTAAAAAAATGCGAAAAATAATGGATGTCGTACGAAACAAGCATCGTTCTGGGTGGGTGGGTGTATGGAAATTATTTAACATGCCGGTGTTTGTATTTGGTACACGAGAGTATAAAATTCGTAAGTAAGAGAGAGAGAAAAGATTGAGAGGGGGAGAGAGAGAGATTGAGAGAGGGGAGAGAGAGAAAGAGAGAAATAGAGAGAGGGAGGGGGAGAGCGAGAAAGAGAGAAATAGAGAGAGGGAGGGGGAGAGCGAGAAAGAGAGAAATAGATAGAGGGAGGGGGAGAGCGAGAGAGAAGAGCATATGAAGAATCGAAAAGATTTTGACGAAGTGTATCAAAAATGGAATCTATGCAATGATTCTCAACAGTGAATACGTAGAAAAAAGGGTTAAGAAAGAAAGATCGATTGAGAAAATAAATAGTAAAAAAGGGAAAAACTTGGAAAGTAGGAACGAAGGAAATAAAGAAAAGAAAAAGAAAGAAAGAACGAAAGAAAGAAAGAAAGAAAAATGACATTGATCGATTGATTCATTTTTTGCGTCTTGCCAACCCTTTCCAACCCTATTTAAAGCCAGAAAATATTTTTAGATTGTAAAATTTTGTATTTTCTTTTTTTTTTTTTTTTAGATAATAATGATTTAGTGATGCAAGTTTTACTAATTAACCCATAGCTGGGGGAGAAGAGGTGGATTCATACCTTTCCCAAATGTATTTACGCGTAAGTAAAATATAACGAACCCAACAGGAATTGGAACTCGGCTCACCAATCAACAATTCCTAGCCATTATCCATTACACCACCCGCACATCCAAGCTTACAGCACCTGGTATACCCAAAACGGTCACCCATCTAAGCACTAACCAGGCTCGCCGTTGCTTAACCGTACGGAAATCAGGGATTCAACGATAAAAGACCCAGAAAGCAAATATTAGAAATGAGGGAAAATGTTAGAAGAAAGAAAGAAAGAAAGAAAGAAAGAAAGAAAGAAAGAACCGAAGAGGAATGAAAAGAGAGAAGGTAAAATAGAAGAGGAAAGGAATAATGGAAATAATGAATGTTGTTTGGATGTATTAATTGCATCCTTATACTTATAAAATCGTTTCAGATTCAGAAGATTTTTGTTGTTCAACACTAATTCAAGCGTCATTCAACCCGATATCTCTCAGTTCGAAATTTTTTTTATTTTTTTTAATTTTTTTTTATCTTTGGTAAAGCCGCGAAATATTTAACATTAATTTCAAGTGGCAAGTAGGAATCTGGGTTTTGACCTCAAAAACACCGGTGATAGGAAATCATTTTGGAGGGCCACATTGAAGATATGGGCAGAATGAAATTACAGATACGACAAAAAAATTAGTTTTCGGATTTAACGGAAAATTAAATCGCGGATCAGGCAAGTTCTTTTATTATCGAATATTTTAAGCGATCCAATAATAATGTCATTTTTATTTTCTGTTCTGTTGTGTGGTGTTTTTTCTGACATTATTTTGAAAATTTCCTTTAGTGACACTATGCGCCAAAGAAAGTAAGCGTAACGGTAAAGAACAGTGGTGAATTTTTCGGGGCCTGGAAATATTCCGATTAATTAACATGGAGAAATTTGATTTGAGATACGAGTCTTTTCAATTACGATCTCGGTCTTGGAACAAATTAAACTCGTATCTCAAGGCATCATATATATATATATATATATATATATATATATATATATATATATATATACATATATATATATATATATGGTAATGCATAAATTCGTATCTCAAGGCATTATATATATATATATATATATATATATATATATAGTAATGCATTGAGATACGAGTTTAATTACGACTTAAACTCGTATCTCAAGGCATTACAATATATATATATATATATATATATATATATATATATATAATAAAAAAAAAAAAAAATTAAAAAATTAAAATCTTTAGACACACTGGGTTGTAGATTAATATTCTTTCGTTTTTTTTATTATTATTCCATTTAGATTCCTCGACTAGTTTCGACCAAAATGGCCATCATTGGGAGGAGAAATATTTCTGCTTGCTGGTAGCAGTAAACTAAAGAAATGAATGTCTTGATGGAGAAAATGAACTTTTGTCTGTAGTTTTCATTTGTTTTTTTATTTTTTTATCTTTTTAACATGAATCTTTTAACATTCCTTGTGTTGGTCAAACAGTCTCTTAAGTTGTTATTTGAGATAAGAGCTGGATAGATACATGTTGCTGTGAATTCTCTGGTCAGTTTGACAGTTTTATTGGACCTGGTGAGGGGATGTGTCTCTGTTTAGTGTTTGTGTGCGTGTTATTTTGTTCTTAGAGAGTGAGTGGCTATGATATGTGTAAGCGTGTGTATTGCTGTGGGTGTATACGTAGTAATGCTTTGAGATACGAGTTTAATTCGGAGGTCGATGAAGGAAGAAAACTGACGGGTCGAGACAGAAAAAAACAATAACAGCAGCAGCAGTAGCAATAACAACAACAACAGCAATAAAGTAGAGATTAAACAAGAAGAAAAAACGAAGAAATAATGAAAGAGAAACAGAGACAAAGTTAGAAAGATAGATAGATTGATAGAAAGAGAGAGGTGGGAGAAATGAGGGAAGAAAAAAATGAATATATATATATATATATATATATATATATATATACGTTATTTTTAAAGGGCATAGGGTTTTTAAAAACAGATTAATGTCACCCTGCCTAGATCGAGACATCCTAATAAAGAAAAATGTGCTGCCCAACTTACTCAGAAAAGGGATCGAACATGTATTACCTTTTCCTCACCTTATAGAAACCACTCCTATAGTCAAAGACTACGTTTATCGATTAAGCAGCAGGAGACTGTCATGATAAAGCCAGACTCAGTTATTTACGTAAGTGATGCACGTCTCTCTGCGTGAGTTGTTTTTGTACTCGAAACGTAAACACCGTAACATTTAATGCATTTTTTTTCTTTTAATCAGATATTATTTTTTATTACTATGAATGCTCACACACGCACACATCTATATAGTGGACCAATGGCAAAATGAAACAAAAAGTTACGCGTTCTGTTCAGTTGAAAGAAGTAACGTCTTCAGGCTAATAACAGTTTTACTAACGTTTACAGACAATCAGCTTCAAATTTAAATTTTGACATTTATTATATAGTGTTGCCTGAAATAATAATAATAATAATAATAATAATAATAATAATAATAATAATAATCGAAACAAAGATGGTATGTGCTCCAACCAGAAACAGTTACCCAAAGTAACAATGTAACTATCTTCTGGGACATACTAATTCAAACTGATAGGGAAACAAAAGCCATCAGACCTGATATTATCATAAAAGACAAGAAATTCAGAAGGTTTATGCTTATTGACATAGCAGTACCATCTGAGAGAAACACCACCATGGACATTATCGAGAAATTGTCCAAATACAAGGACCTAGAGATCGAAATTAACAAGATGTGGGGAATGAAGGCTGAGGTTGCAGCGATAATAATCGGAGCTCTGGAATGGGCAATTTTACTAACAGTATCCCATGTAACATCAACATACAAGTTTCCCAGAAGATCGCCCTGCTAGGAAAATCCCAGATACTAAGTGCTATCAATTAAATGGCAATTCTTCTATAGAGCCTAAGGACCATAGTTTGGACCCGGCTCTACAGGGTACAAGGCAGGAAACGTGACATACACAAATAATAATAATAACCTGAGGGAATTCTTCCATCCCTCTTCTGTTTGGCTTTGAGATCAAAGTTTTCCTTCTCACATTCTGGTTGCCACATCTTAACAAGAAAGACCTGTCACCTCTGCAATTTAACACACAGCTTGAGGGTGAATACATGAATTCATACCTTTCGCAAAATTTGTAGGAAAGTGAATGCAACGTACTTGCTCAGAATTCGAACTCGGCTCGCCAATTTGTCTTTCCGTATCACTAACCTTTACATTACGCTCATACTATCAGTTCCATGATTTAACTCTTCTCATATATTAAAACAGCATAATAGCGGTAATAATAAAAGCAAAATAAATATGTAAGTAAAAAAATTAAAGAAGGTAATAAAATGAAATAAAAAGTAAGAAAGAAAATCGAATTAAAATAATAAGCAGGCATTTTATAGAATTAAGTTTCTGAAAATGCGAAAATCCATATTCACAAACGAGAATTAAAACTGTTTCACAGTATGGTATTATCTAAGCAGTGACCAAAAGGAAGCAAACACACACACAAAGCATACTTTTTCAATGGCTTCTTTTATCGAATATCGATGATATGCTGGAAGACAGTGAGTGATATGCGCATGCGCCTCTGTCTTTTTGTTGAACCTTTCCTGTCAATTTTCTCGCCTCCTGTTTCCCGCCTTTTTCTTCCCCTTCGTCCTGCGTACTTGCCCCAACATTTCAAGACAAGGGGGATTTTTTAAAAAAGAAATGAAAGGAAAATAATTATTTTCGCCTTGGAGTATTCACAAAAAAAAAAAAAAAAAAAAAATGGAATGGGAGAAAAATACTGATATCATTTTTTTTTTTACTAAAGTGGATAATGAAAATTCAACTAGAAAGAAAAATAAGGGACTGAAAAGAAGAAATAGCGAGAGGATAAACAATACAGGGAGAGACTTGTCAGAAGAAGACGCAGTTGATGAAAAGGGTGCGTTTTATGAGAAGTTAAAACGTGAAAGGGAAAGTATGAGAAAAGAGCGAGAATGTGAGAGAGAGAAAGAGAGAGAGAAAGATAGAGCAAGAATGATAATGGGAGAGAAATAGGAAGGGAATATCTAAAAAGTATAAAAAGTTAACAGCTTCATTGAAAATTAAAAAAAGGACTACAGGCAATTCAAAAAGAAAGCTGGGGGCTATAGAAGCTTCCGATAGTGAGGTTTGGCACATCACCATCCAACAAGTTACAAGCCCTTTTGAAGCATGCCGCCGCCCTAGCCAAGTTCCATTTTGCACAAATACTCTTAGGGGAGCTATGAATCCATCTATTTTTCCTTTCCTTCATTTATATGTTAAATAGCAAAGTAGAATTGTCCGCATAGCCTTGCTTGATGACTAACCTCGGAAAAGGACAAATCAGAATCCAAACCTTGAGAAGGCAAAATGCATTTGACATGAGATTGTTCATGAAGAAAACAGTTAATACCACAATAGGAGGGGGGGGAGGTTCCTACCATTGAAATTCATTGATATGTGCTGAATGTTTTTGGAGACCAAACAATGGATGTATACATAGTTAAGCAGTGGCGAATGAAAAGTTGGTGTAAAATTATGTCTGTGCGACCCTGTACAGCTCTCAAACCACAAAATGAAGAACGCTTAGAAAATGGATGGGGATATGTATGCGGAGAAATAGTTTCATTTATTTGATATTTTTTAGCTGAAAACTTGTTCTATAACAACGGCGTTATTCCCCCCACTGTAATTGCTGAAGCTCGCTACATTGGAAATAAACAGGTAACATTGCATTCTAAGTGTCTCTCCTATAAACAACAACAAGAACAACAACAACAATAATAATAATAATAATAATGATGATGATGATGATAATAATAATAATGATGATAGTGATGAAGAAAAGCATTGATAAAAACGATTATGTTACTTTATTTGGGGACTTATCTATATTCTCTTTAGTGAAAATAAAGACGAAAGATTGACTCAGAATTGCTCTGGGAACCATGAAAATGGCAATCTTGAATGAATAAGATATTAAAATGCTAGCAGAAAGAGTAGAGAAAATGGACAGTTATAGAAAACATAATAATAATAATAATAATAATAATAATAATAATAATAATAATAATAATAATAATCGGCCGAAATCGAATATTTCAAATTAGCTGTATATTTATGCCTGGAGGATTTTTTGATTGCATTACGATTTTTGAATGAAACACGAAACACCATAGCTTGCAGGGACTTTCTTCACATTACTAAAACACTTTACATTATTATGTGTGGATGGTTGTCATAAAAATAACCACAATTTAGGGCGCATTGCCATGGAGCAATAACAAACAAGCTTGTCTGAGTACGAATGCCAAAGTGTACTCTAAAATATAGAGCCTTGTACTCTACTCAGATCAGTTAATCGATTATCAATATTGATTCTGAGTTTGCGATAAGGAGTTACCACTAAAAACTAAAAAAAGAAAAGATGAGGAGACAAGCACACGAAAGTATAATACACTACGGTAGGTGCAGCCTGGATGTTTCTCTATATGATTAGAATACATTTTACAATGATTATTGTAATCGCCAATTCCGTGAATAGTAAAAAGAATTGTAGAACAATGTCGAGGGACACGACCTACGCATGTTCCAGAATAACAAAAGCACAAATCACGAGGCACTAAGCACATTTAAAACCAGTGAACATCTCCGGTGAATCGTGGTGCAGTCGAACCACGAGAGGAATCTCCTTCACAAGCAACAAGAAGAACAAGTGAAAATGAAAGTGAAAGTAGACGCTGACATCTGCTTGACTTTCGCGCTTCCATTCTATAAAAACGACCCTGACACATTTCTCAAAAATGGCAGCTTGGAACAATGTGGGCAATTAGACATAAATATTTCCGATTGTCAGTAACAAACAAAGAAGGGGCGACAGGAAAAGGAGGAAAAGAAAGAGAGAAAGGAAGAGGACAGGAGAAAGAGAACCAATGATATATGAAGAGAGAAAAATAAGTATATATAGTATAAAGAGGGAAGGAAGAAGTGACAGCGTAGGATGGGAAATGTAGAAAAAGAGAAACATGTATAAGAGAGAGAGAAGGAAATAAAGAGAGAGAGAGAGAGAGAGAGAGAGATCGCTGAAAACGCACGAAGGAGAAAGAAGATAGAAAAATAAGTAAAGATATTTGAGAAGTGAAGAGGAAGATGACAGTTAGAGAAAAGAGAAAGGGAACAATGAAATGAAATGAGCGGGAAAGATAGCGATAGCGGGGAGAGAAAGGAGTAAAAAGAGAGACAGATATTGCCGAAAGAATAGGTGAAAGAGAGAGATGGTGGAAGCGATAGAAGTCTAAAGTAAGGAGAAGCCAAGAGAGAAAAGTAAGAGAGAATGTGAAGAGATTTTTTTTTCAGAAAAAGCGAAGTGAAAGTAATGAATATTTTTACATCTCATGTCTCTTCAGGACTTAGGCGATCATCTCTACAATATCTATGAACTGCCATGATTTCTTATTTGGAAAAATAGTGGATTGTTTACACAGTTACTCCGCTAGGGGGTTTAATTTAGTGTTGGAATTCTCCAAGAGTGGTTGTAACCGAATGTTCGTAAGTCCATTTTACTGTTCTATTTAACCTATAGTTGAAAGGATGACATTTCTGCGAAAGTAAATTCAACAGATCAACCCACCTTTTTAACCTGGATCGCCGATTCTACTAACCTTATCGATATCCCTTACCCTACTTACACATCCTATGACATAGCTCATCAAATTAATAAACTTAATGAATGAACACATACATTGTAGTTACTGGTTTTGAAGTCTCTTTCGTTTTGCCAATATCTTGGGTTTTCTTTTTTTTATATTTAAAATGGCTCTTTTTCTCTTTTAAAAACGTTTCTATTTTCCTTGATTTATTTACTTTAGCTCAAAATCTTCTCACATAGGAAGAAAAGACTTGAGGTAACAAAAACCTGCTTCTACAGAGGGATGTCGAGGACACCGTGGACTGAGCCCGTGAGCAACAAAGTTTTTGAGAAAATCGAATCAAAAAGATCAATTAAACTTAGAATCAGAAAGAGACGATTGAAATTTCTTGGGTACACAGTCAGGGAAGAGGGCTTGACAAATTTAACACTCAAAGGACATGTTGAAAGCAAGAGGAATAAAGGAAAACAGAGAATAACCTACCTAACAAGCTTTTGTAAATGGTTGACAAAATAAGGATTAGGATATATAGCGAAAAAAATATTTACTAAAAGTTACAATGGTTAAGAAAGTGTGGAGAGCCATCATCAATCACATTCTGAATAGACACGGCACATAGAAGAAGAAGACTTCTCTATGATTAATATCTAAGCTGGCTATTTCAGATTATCTCCCTTTCTTATTAAATTAGTTCTGAAACAATATGGCATATATCAAGTTTTATAAAATAAAGAATATACAGATAAACAATAAAAATGAATAAATACAAATAAAATGAAGTGGAAATTAGTGAAAATCTTATTTTTATATCAACACAGTATAAATAAAAGACAGTAAAGGAATCAGCTTTTATCATCTACAGTCAAATTTTTGTGTCAAAGGTGACAGCTTTTTGCCTACATTCTTCTGTTTACTGTTAAGAGTTAACGCCCTGCTTCTTTTCTTGCCTCTCGCCATTTTATCAAACTTAAAAAAAAAAAAAATTGCCTACCTCCTGAACATTGATACCAATGCCAATTTCAAATACAATTTCATAAAAGTTTTCTTAAGTGATTCGAAAATTTTTTAGTAGCCATTGTTCACATACACACTTCTTAATTAGTATTCTGTTTCTACCTCATTTCAACAATAAGTGCATTTTGCGTCGCTGTGGTTACCACTCCTCTCCACTCAAAACTGTCGTTCATAGTGATATTTAGCTACTCCCCCACGAGGGCTACATGTGGCACAAGGCCGGGTTTAACGTGGGATCTCCGAGCCAGTAGACTTGGCCAAAAACATTCCCTATTTGAACGCGTATAAACGGGTTCAGGGTCAGTCTACCTCCCTGAACGAGACTCTGCCCTTCAGCGGAGCCTCGTCCGGGTTCCTCTCTGCTCAAAGACAGAGAGTTCGACTGTTCAGCTGGAACAGGTCGCAGCTGGTCTCAACTGTCGTTCATAGTGACATTCAAAACAGTATAGTGAAATTGCGTTCCGGTTCCTTCTGTACCGGGGCAGTCGAGGTTACCCCAGCACTCCTCTCAAAAGTTAGAGAAGCAGGACCTACAAGGATAACATGTAGTTTGAATTCAGAATTTTCCTTCTTCTAGACTGGTTACCAACCTAGACTATAGTTTCTTCTGCTATTTATCCATAGCTGGGGGTAAGGGATTCATACCTTTCCGAAGGGTATAACACGTAAGTGAATGCAATAAACTAGACTGGAATTTGAACTCCGTTTTCCGATTTTATTTCCAAGCCGCCATCTATTACATCACCAGGCCTGAATTCGCCCCCGCCAGATTGCTAGAATTAAAAGTACATGGCGTCTTAGTTAAATACATTCTACCTATGATATCATACTTTACATATTAAAATATGGACACTTCTTAATTTAAAATTGTTTCATAGAAGCATTTTTTTTTCATTTCTGTTATGATGTTGATTTGGGGTTAGTAGAGTCAAACGCCAAATAACACGTAACAATAAAAAGGGTTTTAATAGTTTGGTAAATAGGTACAGAAATTGCCTGAGTAGTCAATAATTAGCTCAGCTAAGAACTTCTCTGTCTCTATCTGTCTTTTGACATGCCGCTATTTAACGTCTTTGCTCGCAGACAAGTTCATCTTCAAGAGGGGTGGTAGGTTTCCGACACAGCAATTTCATAAAACGCCACTTATTGAGATCGTTTTGGAACACTGTTTTTGAGATAAAGTTTTTTTTTTTTTTTAATTAAGCCTATAAAAAAATCTTTGAAATTTTGGGCATATTGATTATAATTTTTTTTGTAAAACATCAGATGCTGACTATGTTCCACAAGTTGTCTAAATTCTTAGACGGCATATTTTTATGATTAATTTTGGACTAGTTTTTCTTTCATGAATCCATTCATCACACATTTATATTCTACGACCTTTAAATTAAGCAACATGAATTGCAAACTTCCTCTTAACCAGTTTGTGGCCCGGAAGTTTGGTAGTGTATAAGACTTTAAAAAAATCATATCGGGCTTGGCTGAAATCAAGTCCCTGTCTGTTAAATTATAGTAATTATGCTTACAATGATTGTCGCGATGGAATTACTTGCCAAAAAATTCAAGGATTGGTCGAGGTAGCAGCTTTAAAGGTGAAAATTGTCTGCTACGATGATGACAACAATTGGGAGTGCTACCGGATACAGGAACAAACGCAAAGTTTAAAAGATAGAAGAAATTGTAAGAGAGCCGACTATCAATTACCGTTCCTTGAGACACGTGTAAACAGAAAAAAATTCAGTTTCCAAATGAAACAAACAAACAAAAAAAAAAACACGAATTAAAAGAAAAAGGTTTAAGATTAACGGCTGATTTTTTTTTTAATATCCGTTTTTCTTTATCCATTCATCCTATGGCGTGTAGTCACGTGATGAGTAATTAGAGTAAGATGGCGTGACGGCTACATTCACAACTGCCCTGAATGGCTACGTAATGCACATTCCTTTAACAATTTTCATTCGCCAGAAGAAAGCGGACAAAATAAATCAATAAATCAATTGGTCTTTTAAATCTTTATTTTTATTCTATGACAGGCCGTGACCGTTCTTTGCGTTTCCCAGCGGATACCTGAATCCGCGGATGGTGCCAAATATATATTGTGGTCTCTCTCTCTCTCTCTCTCTTCCTCTCTCTCTCTCACTCATATATATATATATATATATATATATATATATATATATATATATATATAGAGAGAGAGAGAGAGAGACACACACACACACAAACACATACACACACACACACATATATATATATATATATATATATATATATATAGCTGGAAGAAGAGACGGATTCCTACCTTCTTCAAAGGTAATTGCATGTAAGTGGATGTAAAAACTCAACTGGGATTCAAACTCAGCTTTCTGGTTACCCATTCCTAGTTACTATCCATTATCAACGTCACAGAAATGAAGAGATCAAAATTTATTGAGGATTTGATTTCAGCTAATCATTTTGTTGAGCAAAGATATTTTTTTTATTGAAATTAACACCTGAAAATGATAGCTATTATTCAGTAACAGACACCACCAACTCGGCACTTGCTTAAACGTTAAAGAGAAAACTTCAGTTTCAGGTAACGAATATTGATGGGCAAACGACCAACATACAAAAATGAGTCCGCTCAAATTCGTATCACAGAGCACTTCCTGTTGCGATGTTGTTCTTGAGTTCTGTTTTCGATTTGTTGTCTTTTCTTCGAGCAAGCAGTGAAAGACAAAAGAAAGCAGCAGGTGATTGTTATTTTTATGTTGATAAAGAATAGCGAAATACTTCCGCGAATCCCAAGAAAGAATCGGGAAAAAAGAAGCTGCTTTGTGAATGATAAATGAAGAAGGATTATGCCCGGCTCAATAACTAAAGATAAATATGATTCGTTATTAAAGATTTGCATTTCATTTTTAACTTGATTTGATCTCCACATCCTTCTTTGGTCGTATGCTTAACGTGAAAGAATCAGGTGTCTTGTAAAATGCAGGAAAGAAAAAAAATAATGGTTTTAAAGAAAGAGGGAAGGGAAGAGGGAAGGAAAGAGCAGGGAAGAGTAAATAAATATGAGGAAGGAAAAGAAGAAAACGTGAATAAATAAAATTTTTAAAAAAAAATGATGGAAATAAGGATCAAAGAAGAAAGATGCTGTCGAAATGGAAGGAAAGATAGAAAAGAATTAAGGAAAAAGCGAAAGAAAAATAAAGAAAATCAAAAACGTTTCAGAAAGAAAGAAAAAAAGAAAGAAAAAAGAAAGCATGAAAAAAGAAAGAAAAAGAAAGAAAAAGAAAGAAAGAAAGCAAAAAGAAAGAAAAATAAAGAAAAAAATGCTAAAAGTAGAAAAATATAAATATAAAAAGAAATGAAAAAACGAATGAAAAACGAAAAAGTTGCAAAAGGAACTTCGAGAAAAAGTCAGATAAATGAAACAAATGAAACAAGAAAGAAAGAAAGAAAGAAAGAAAGAAAGAAAGAAAGAAAAAAAGAAAAGATCAGTTTTAGATAAAAAAAAAGAACGGTGGTCGATTAAAAAAAGGAAAAAGGAAAAAAAGAACATAACGAAACTATATAAAGGAAAGGAAAATGTGAAGAAACGAGAAGAAGCGGAACGAAGAAAAGATAATAAAGCAAGTCTAATAAATAAGGAAAAAACGGCAAGGGAAGAAACATGAAGAGTAAAAGAGGGTGAGTCGGGTAAAAAAAAGAAAGAGAGAAAGAAAGAAAGAAAGAAAGAAAGAAAGAATGATATGTTGAGTGAATTAAATAAAGGTGGAAAGAATAACAGATTGATTGGACAAAAGGAAGGAAAAAGTTAGAAAGAAAAAAGTGTTGGTTGGATTGAAAGTAAAAAAAAAAACGGGAGAATTAGAGATGGATTGAAAGAAAGAAAGAAAGAAAGAAAGAAAGAAAGACGTGTTGAGTAAATGAAATAAAGAAATAAAGAACAATATGTGGATTGAACAGAAAGAAAGAAAGAAAGAAAGAAAGAAAGAAAGAAAGAAAGAAAGAAAGAAAGAAAAGGGGGTTAAAGTCGAGTGGGGAAAAAAGGAAACATGGTCAGTAAAAGAATGAAGGGAGAAGGAAGACAGAAAAATAAAATAATTAAACATAGAACAATGAGAAAACCCCAAACGGAAAGAATAAGTGAAGAGAAATCGAAAAAAATAAATAAAGAAAAAAATGAAAGAAAGAAGGAAAAGTAAAATAAAAAAAAGAAAAGGAGAGAGAAATAAAATGAAAAAATGGAAAAAGATGAAAGCTGCAAAGAATAAATATTAACATGCATGGTGACTGTCGATCCTTGTGGCATTACTGACAAATTAAAATCTATGCTTACAGTTTGAATTCAGAGTTATTCTTTTACTAGACTGTCAACCACAACTTGAAAACCCATTGTGCCCCACTATTTAACTGGGGCGCGAGATTTCGTGCATTTCCAAATGGTATTTGCGCGTAAGTGAATGCAAATAACTCGACTGGAATTCGAACCCGGGTCGACGATTTTTAATTCCGAACAGCTATCTATTACACCATCCGCATATCCAAACACGAATACATACATACATACATACATACATACATACATACATACATACATACATATGTGTGCGTATCGATGCGAAAATCACATATATGCCAAGAAAATATATTTCTCGTGATGTTATCAGATGATAAACCTGGGATATGAGATGGCCTCAGGGATGCAACATTATTATGACTCAAGGCGCTCCAGCTGTACCGAACGATACCAGCAACCTTTGTCAGTTTTTTTTTTTTTTTTTTGGAAGCGGGGCGAAAAGAAATGATTTCATACCTTTCCAAATGGTATTTGCGCGTAAGTGAATGTAAATAACTCGACTGGAATTCGAACTCAGGTCTACGATTTTTAATTCCGAGCAGCTATCTATTACACCATTCGCATATCCAAGCACGCATACATACATACATAGATAGATAGATAGATAGATAGATAGATAGATAGATAGATAGATAGATAGATAGATATGTGTGCGTATTTGTACATATCGATGCGAAAACCACATATGTGCCAAGAAAATATATTTCTCGTGATATTATCAGATGATGAACCTGGAATCTGAGATGGCCTCGGGGCTGCAACATTATTATGACTCAAGGCACTCCAGCTGTACCAAACGATACCACCAACCCTTGTCAGTTTTTCGTCACACTGAGAATGCCGGATGAAAATATATTCGCTGCTTATGAGCTCAGAAATGAAAAGGGTGGTAGCACCTGTTAGGGCCCCGACTATGGGCAAATAGAGAACCCCCACCCACCAAGCAATGCAAAAACTAGGAAAGTATAAAAAAATTTATTGTAAAAATACCAGCAATACGTTTTCATAAAAAAAGTTACCAAAAATACATTTTTATATAAAAATGACAATACAGCTGTAAAAATTATGAAAATACATTTTATAGTAAAATTAACAGCAATATATTCTTGAAAAAAATTACCCATAATACATTTTGGTTATGAAATTACAAAAAAAAATTACTAACAATACATTTGATCATCGACTAACACCGTCGTCGGCTTTATCTCGTATCCAAGAATTTAATTTCTTCTCTGCTGATTGCTTCCTTTATGATGATGGCGTTGATAACTAAATTGGCCGCCAACGTACAAATTCAGGACTAGAAAATTTCAGTTTCACCAAAACATGATCCCGAGATCCATTCCCTATCCCCACTTGGCTTCGCAAGAGTTGGTTGGAGGCAAAAGAGAAACAGAGTAGAAGAAAGCGCCGATGGCGTGAATTTGTTTAAGTTGGACCTCAACCTTCCGTATACCAAATATATATCCAAAAATAAGATATGCTTGCACTGAAAGTATACACTTATATGCAAAATATCTATAGCTGAAGGTATAAGACTGCGTACATAATATTTAAATTTCCTCCTGCTGTCCTGATGCGGCATTCACCCTGTGCGGATTGAGCCGGCTTCTTCCTGTTGTGAGAAGAAGATTCTTGGGATAAATTACAGAAGTAGGGTACCCAGGCCTACTCGGATAACGTTCTTGCTTGCCGCGGGGTTCCTACAGACGCAGAGACAGGAACGACCAGAAGCCGCCGGTTGCCGATGCAGACGCTCCTTGGATTTTCACCAGAGCCCTTGTTAGCCGGCGTGTGTGTCAGACCTGTCCGCCTTGGGTGGCCCTACCAGGAACGAAGTTCCGGACGGCATAGCTCTGACACTACCGTTTGCACCCCCCCCCCACCAACTGTGAGGTAAGGGTTGGACTTTGGGCAATTTAAATTTCGGCATTAAATAACCCATAGAGATTGATATGGCGTTAAACAAAATTAACCAACCAAACCAACCTTTAGAAATGAAAAAAATTAGTCTTGAATTAACAACCAATATTTATTTCGTAAATATTGACAACATGTGGCATGAATATCGATGTGGAGTCTTGGGAAACGATTGCTTCTGTATTGATTATTCTATCCTTAGATCATTTCGTGATTTACATACACAGATTTAAATTGAATGCTGAGATGACAATGTCAAGTCTTTGAGAGGTTAATTTGAACTTCACCTTGAAAGACGACCACAACGTACTACAATATCGAATTTCAGACGATTTGCTTTCTTTATTTTTTAAAAAAATCGGTATCTCGTGCCGACAAAGAAAGGAATTCTCTGCACTGTGGTATTTTCCTGACACTGGTTCTCTTAAATCGATTTTCAGTCTCAATCTGTGATTTATGCTATTGCCGACACAGACAACCAATTCTCTATATATAAGCCAGATCAAAATATAATGATAGAATAGCCTAAACTAGGAGAAAAGTTGCAATAAGAAAATTAATAGTTTACTTTTGAGAAAAAAAAATGTGGAAAATTTTACGTGAAACAAACTTTTATATCTCTCTATATTTCTGAGATGAGGTATTATGTACATTATTTACATTGCTCGGACTATCATCCTCATCTTTGTTGCCATATTTATCTCAACTTTTCGGCCGTTGTACGCTCCGGCCTCCTTCGGGTGGTTGGAATGTCGAACTGAACCTTTTATTTCGCTCACTGGGGTAGACTGTTCTAGTTCCACGTGCCATGTTTTGATGGATGTCAATTATCAGTTATCTCCTGTTAATTTCCCTCTGAAAGTTCTCTACTGCCTTAACCGGGTATTGAACTCACACTCTTTGGGTCCTGTCACTGGATCTAACAAGGACACATGGCACAGTGGATAAAGGCGTTAGTTAGATCCAGCGACAGGACCCCAAAAGTGTGAGTTCAATATCTGGTTAAGGCGGTGGAGATCTGGGAGAGGGGATTTAACGGGAGATAACTGACATCCATTAGACACGGCACGTGGAACTAGAACAGTCTAACCCAGCGAGCGAAATAAAGGGTTCAGTTCGACATTCCCACGACCTGAAGAAGGCCGGAGCGTACAACAGCCGAAACGTTGTGATAAATATGGCAACAAAGGTGAGGATGATAGCCTGAGTAATGTAAACTTATATATATATATATATATATATATATATATATATATATATATATATATATATATAATATATTATGGTAAATACATACATATGCAAAATATATAAATACCCATACATGTATATTTTTTAGAATAAAATTTCCAAGAGGAAGAATCCAGGTAGAACTCAATGTCCAGGACAGAGTAAGGATATAATAAAAAGAATTTAAAATACTAATATTCCATGGTCAACTAATTTAAATAAAACAGAATCGTAGAGAGTATGTTTTTCATTTCCGGAGTTGTTTTTTCTGTTTTTGAATTTTTTTCTGATTTATGAATTGGATCGTATTTAATTCCAATGTAATAAATTATGACCATGGAATATTAGTTTTATTTATATATATATATATATTATATATATATATATATATATATATA